CCAAAACAATATACACGCGGCTGCCAGCAAGCTACACACACCTTTTCGCCGATGACCTTCATGACCTCATGTCAAAAAACGACAGCGTTGACAAACTCCAGACCACGGCAACACCGCCAAAAAGTAAGAAACAATTCGTATCTCTAGTATCCGTTTTTACTATGAATCACGCACACACATGTTGACTTTTTCATACAAAACACACATCACAACATTTCATTGTTTCTCACACGCGTACACAAAGACAGTTTATATTTTATTTCAGAACTTTATCAACCCAAACAAAAGACAGTACTTTCCAACTTTTTGTATTCCTATCGTTATATTAAATCAATGTTTATTTGTTGAAACTACTTCGTCTTTTCTACTGAATTTTATTCCTTCAATGAAAAGCGTTTTGATTATTCTAGACGGCCAAATTACGAGCGACCCTGTAACGATATTTTATTAACGTATTGAATCCCGACACTCCAAATTTTAATATTCAACGAAAAACCGAGTAGAAGGATTCCTACATGCTAACCTCAATAGGTGTTAACAAACGAAGACTTTTGACTGTCCGCTGTGGTCGTACTTAATCGGCAACCAGTCCGTCCATTATCGTGAATGGGGAAGTTGGGTTATATAATCATAACACAAAATGTCTTTTGTAAACTATAGATTTTTCTGTGTACCAACTACCCAAAGACTTTAACTCAACTAAAGACTATTTTTACTATTTTACAACTCTTTTTGAATTAATGTCTGTAAATACAAATGGTTTATTTAACAGGCATACCCATGATTTTTTTTTTATTCTAATCATTGTTTGGAATTTGGATGTTTGGATTTTTAATATGAAAAACGTGGACAACTGAATTTCTTACTTTCAGCTTCATCATAACCTGCAACCTCATTTCAGTTACAATATTGACTTTCAGTAAGTTAGATTCATCATGTGTACTAAGATTATACAAAAGGAAGATTCCTGCAACAAAAAGTGAAAAATAGAAAAAAAAGTCCTTATATGTTTTTAAAAGTGATTTTTTAACAGTATTTTTAGAGGAAGATTTTTCATGCCTATAAGACGTTTTGAATTGGTAAAATTATTTATAAAATTGGAAGTTTTTATAGGAACTATAATAGGAACTACAAAGAAACTGTTACTAATTAAAAGAGAAAACTGAAATTTTGGGGACACAATGAAAAAAGAAGGCTTGGAGAATTTAACACTCATATGACACATCAAGGGTATGAGAAGTAGTGGAAAGTACGAGGTAATACATTTGTCAAGTACCAAAAAGGTAAAAGAGGTTATAAAGGAATAAGTATTGCTCAGTGGGTTCAAACATTGACTGAAGAAGAAATGTGGTACTTATCTCCGCTTTGTTTCAGTGTGGAAAACTTGAACCAAGGGAGACTACTCTGAATGAAAAGCTTTCTATCAAGGGAGATTATTCAAACAAACTGTTTTAAAAATGGCGGTAATCTAAAGCAACATGGTATCGTGAGACAAATATTGACAGAATGAATGACGACGTCTTAGTCGCAAAACAATGGAAACTATTTTGTAACTTCAGCGTAAAGCATCAACCAGTTGGTTAACAAGTAGTTGATGCTGCTTTATTTCTGCAAATCAAGAAACAACCTAGATTTACATGGAACGAACGAAAAAACAAGCGAAGAAATGAAAGTAAATAGACAAGTTGTAAATGTTACTTTTGAACAGGTATGGCTTATTGTAAATCGGTTAAGACGGAATCATATGCATTTAATCCCTTTTAAAAATTCGATCTAATAGTCCATTTAAAATATAAATAATATAAAAGACATTTTTATGGTATCGTAGTTAACAACAGATGTAAATTGTTTTTTTGTTTTTTTTAAAGTGATTTGAATCAAACAAAAATAAATTTTTTGTCGTCAGTGAAAATATGACGGTAGAATTTTTAAACTGATTCTTTTTCATATACTCGGTTTTTGTGGAATGTGTTTTCGAAGTTAGAATTACGGAAATGGATTTCACACTTTTGGAGTTGTTAAAAAACTATAAAGAGACTAATGATGTTAGCCAACTTAGTTTTGCTCTGGTTCATATTGCCAAATCCTTGTACGATGTGGACACGATATCCCGTCAACTGGCTGGCAAGGGGGCTTCTGGTTGCCACTTCCTACTTAAAATTACCTCCCAAATTCTTGATGAATATAAATTCAACCACCACCATCCAACAGAGGGGAAAGAAATAAATTCCCGTGAGGCATTTATCTACTGGTTTTTAGCACAAATGCTACGTTTGTTAAGTCACCCTGGCTGCACAGAACTCCACGACAAATGTATCAGTCTGTTGGTACAATTCCTGAAAAGTATGAAACTGAACGAACCATACCTGTTCAAGCGAAGCATTGAAAAACTTATTTACTGTTCTGGACAACTGATTATGATTAGTGAAAACCTGCAAAGCAATGTTGACCCATTTGGAGTTACATCTTCGCTTGAAATTTTTAATACAAACATGGAATTGGTGTGTCAGTGCCTTCCAGAATCACAGAGAAAAACAGAGATAATGCCAGCTACAATAGAAATTGGAATGAATGCATGTGAGATGCTGCAACTTAATATTACTGAAATTATCTTGCAGATAATGCATTACATGCCTGGAGACTGGGCAGTACCTTCGGTGGCCATTTTGTGGGGTAGTTTGACAACTCAGGTTGAAAACTGTGATATACCCCTTAAAGAAGTTTCATTGAAAGTTATTGCTAACCTTCTGTCATCTTATGGCCTGCCTGGTCCTGACTTGCTTGAGTATTTTGTAGCTGTTTTTGTTGCTATTCCTTCAATGCTGTATTCAGAGAACACAGATGTAAGTGATGGGGAAAGAGATATGCTAGAAAATGCTAGCCACATACTTATACAAACTGTTGTTGATGCAGATTCTCGGAGTTTTGGCACACATTTTGATTGTAACAAACTGGAACTTATTCTGATGAAATTTTCTGCAGCCATTAATTTGCCAGGATGGATAAGGAATTTGCGTCACGAAGAACCAAAAGCAATTATTGGAAGTGTTAGCAAACTTCTTAGCCATGTTCTTCTGAAGCTAAACAAGATATCCAATGTGTTTGGACCAATACATCGGCCGCTTATTTTGGCTTTGCAAGAAACTTTCTGCTTTATGGTCAGCACAACAAGTAATAGCCAGTTTCTGGTTCAAAATCTGTCGACTTTAATCCTGTGGGAACTGCAAGAATTCTTGAATAATTGTCCTGACAATTCTGAGGAAATGCAGAGAAAACTAAAAAAATCCTACATGCAATCCAAAAAAAGAAAAATCTATTTGAAAGGGAAACCAATTCTTCAAGAAGATAAAAGCCAACTCTTCAAGAAGATGAAACAGAAACTACAAGACACACTTCAATTTTTAAATTCTTTGCAGTCTTGTGAAGAGGCAGAGAAAATTCTGTGGTCATTAACAGGTATTCAGGTTATCATTGAGATGTCTGTTTTACTTTTTCATTCCTGGGAAGATTTGATAGAAAAAGAGAAGGCTGGTCAAGAATACAAAACTAGTAGCATAACATCTTTAAAATTTATTGAGTGGATCACAGAAAAAGAACTGTCAGAAATCTCTTCCTCTTGGAGACAGTTCTTGGTCATCTCTTCCTTTGCCCCTGATTCTGAAAGTAAGAGATCTTTATTCAATCAAGGGATGAAAATTATCGCAAGATCTGTTGCTGCCTTACAGATTTTGACTTCTTCAACAGAGTTAATACCTGAATGCCAAATGGGGTTTGCAGCAATACTTTCTCTCCCTTGGCTACCAGGTGAGTCCTCATGGGGAGACCTGCATGTGTCTAATGCAAAAGGCTATGCTGAAGTAGCAAACAAACTACACTCTTTTGTTGATGTATCTACCAGCTGCTTATTGGTCAGGGTTTTGTCTTTTATTCCAAAGGAGATCTGCAGCCAGTGGCGATGTCGTGTTTTCACCTTGGTATTATCCGAGTACAAAGAGAGTGAACTCACTTCTGAAGCTATTTCTTCCTTACCAATTCTTTTAAACCAGGTCGGTAATAACTACAATTACCTTGTAAATGACTGTGTTATCCCTCTCTTAAAGATAAACAAACCTGATATTCATGACTGTCTGGCAAAAACATTTGGAATGTTTGCCTGCGTTATGGCTCGTCAAACTGCCTTAGCAAGAATTACTCTGTCTTGCTTGAACCATTCTGAGAAGGAAAATATTCTGTCGAGCTTCAGACTGAATTGCAGCAAATGTGACAATGCTACCAACCATGATGCAGAGACGACTTTTTCAGTCAAACTGACCCTGTGTGAGAATCCAAAACTTTTTTGGCCCTTTTTCCAGCTGTTGGAAGAACAAAATGCATCAACACAGAAACTTTTCTGCCTCAGTTTAAAGCGTGTGTTCTGTCATATTGAACTGCGGATAACTGAAGAATGGGGATCATCTATGCTGAATTCTGCTTTTTGTCTTGTTAACAATCCTGATCGCCATATCACCATCTTGTTCAGTGACTGCCTTAAAAATTTGATAGAGAACTCTGGTAACAGCATTGCAGAAATTGTCTTCAATAAACTCCAAGATGCATTAAAGGATTCAAAGCTGAAGAAAACTGTCCGTTTGCAAAGTTCCATAATCATGACGTTGGGTATTCTTGGAAGATCTTTGGAGGGCGATCTTCTCTTGAATGTGGTGCTTATTCTATTGGAGAATACATTGTCCGATATTCCACTGATAAGTGCTGTTGCTTATACACAATTACAGAACTTGTCCAAGATAAGAAAAACTGGGCCCAAACCTTTTAATATCTTTTTAAACTACCGCCAGCCAATATGTAAATTCTTGGTAAGCATAATGCATGATGTACCCCTCCAAGGGGCTGGAAAAAAACCAGAGCAGATGTTGAGAGAAGTTAGCAATGTTTTTGAGCATGCAGACATCAGAGCATTTCTGCATAGTACTGAACGTTTTTTATTGCCTCAATTGGTGGCTATGGCTACTCCCAAAGCCTCAACATTAATCAAACTTCTTGCCAATTACCTCCAGGTACCAAGCCGTATGAAGCTACTGATTTCCTGTACCAAATATGTCTTTTCATACCTGATGAGACACCACAGCAGACGAGAAATTGAGAAAGCCCTTCAGTTTCATCTTGCCGAAACTGAGATTGAGCTGAGCAACCTCCTGCGTATTGATTTTCAGCGTGTGCACAATGAACTTCTGTTACATTTAAGTGCCAGCTACACAAAAGTGTTCAATGGCCTCAAGCTGCTAAGCACATATGACGAACACTATAAGGGAAACATCGAATCGACTGAAGATATGGCAGATTATTTGCAGCCACGCTTGCTTGGCGTTCTAGCATTTTTCGACTCCCAACTTCTCATTTCAAGTATCCCAGTAGAAGAGAAAAAACTCACATTGAAAAGTTTGACGTCCATCATCCAGCTCATGGGCCCCAAACATGTTACATTTGTTCGTTATAAAATCATGAACACACTCCGAATCGGTCTACGTTTTAAAGAGAACGGATTTCCAGAAATCTCCTGCTGTGCTTGGAATGCCTTCGTAAGACATGTCGAACTCCCTGCCCTCGGAGATATGCTGTCTCCAATTTCTGCAACGTTACTACCTCTCATCCAGCAGCTACCTGCCCAGTCAGCTGAGATTTTCCAGTTTCTCTTTGTAGAAAATAAAGAAGCCCTTTGCAGCCACTTCCATGAGATCTATTATTTGCCAGACATTCCAGAATTGTCAAATGTCCAGTTTTGGCTGAAGCAATATGCTAGTGACCTCTCGAGCCAGTCAGATCTCAAGACAAAGATTTCCCACTCCCTTCGTGGAGTGGCACATGAGAGTTTAGATGTTCAGATTCATGCCTTGTCTAAACTGAAAAACTTGCTTCATACCAGCCACCTACAGCTGCACCAATATATGCTTGATAGTGAAAATGCTGATGCAATTGTATCACAGTTGATATCTGTACTTCTGTCAGTCTGCAGGGTGCCTGACCAGAAGATCCGTTGTCTTGCTGGTGAATGCTTAGGAGAAGTTGGTGCCATTGATCCAGGAAGGCTAGAACTCATGTCAAATAATCCCAAAGAAGAAATGGCAAAATTCCAAGCAAGTACTGAAGATGATAATTTTGTTTTTGGTCTTATAAATGAAATAATCCGTGCATTTCTTGCATCTACAGAGACTAGAGTTCAGGACTGTGCCTCTCTGGCTCTCCAAGACTTGCTTCAGATCTACAGCATCAGTGATAAGGGTGATGAAAAGGAAGGTCAAGGCTCTAAACTCTGGAAACGATTTCCTGAACATGTCCAAGAAATCCTTCAACCACTTCTTAGTTCTAAATATGTGTCTTCCTCTGTGTGTACATGGGAAAATCTGCAGAAGCCAATTTATGGTAGTGCCAAGGGATCGAAATACAAAGACTGGATTAGCACTTGGACTGCCTATCTTTCATCTCGGGTCAGTCAGGATCGTCCATTTAAAGTCTTTCAGGCATGCAGTCCGATTGCCCGCCATGATACCTCAATTGCTCTTTATGTCTTGCCACATATAATCCTGCAAGTTCTCCTTGATGGGGCTGAACCAGACCTACAAGACCTGCACAGTGAAATCATGGAAGTACTGAACCAAGTTCGGAAGTCGGACACACGTCAAGGAAGCGTAGCTGATTTTCGACACATGAGTGCCCAGACTATCTTTTCAGTACTTGACTACCTTACCAAGTGGAGAACAAATCGAGCTCAAGTGAAAGCGTCAGAAATGCCATCTTCAAAAGAACCAGTCTACCTGAAAGACAAAGGTTATAATACAATAAATATATTTCTGAAACAAATTCCTCAAGATATCCTAGCCGAAGCCTGTTTCAATTGTGATGCTTATACACGTGCACTAATGCATTTTGAACAATTCATTCGCAACAAAGATCGTAACATCCAGGATCATTTGGATTTTCTGCAGCGGTTGTATGTTGCTATGGATGAACCTGATGGGGTTGCAGGCGTGGCTGCTATCCGACAAGCTCAGCCAACTCTGGTGCAGCAGATTCTAGCCCATCAAAGTGTGGGACAGTATCAGGATGCCGAAGCTTGTTATGAGAGGGCCGTCCAGTTGGAGCCAAATGAGATCAGTCATCACCACGGTTGGTTAAGAAGCTTAATAGAACTTGGCCAACTAAATAAAGCTTTGATGCATGCCGATGGCGTTCTGGCCAATAAACCTGCTTGGACATCTCAGCTCAACTCTTACCGAGTTGAAGCTGCCTCAAAGCTTGGTGATTGGGACAAACTTGAATCTCATGTGAAATTAGAGAAAGATAACCGGAATTGGGCTGTGGGTCTTGGAAAGATTCTGCTGGCTATTCGAGATGGCAAAGAAGACATGGTAAAAAGACATCTAAATAACGTCCGCAGCGAACTGATGGGTCCTTTGTCAGCAGCCACAATGGAAAGTGGCTCGTATCTGCGAGGCTATGAATACATTGTCAGGTTACACATGCTAAATGAAATTGAGCAGGTGCAAAAAGTTCTTTTCAACTTTTCCACTAATGCAGAAAAAATGGATTGCGGAGGAGAATCAGATAAAATGAACCTTGAAGACCTTCTCAACCAGTGGGATGCACGACTGAAGTTCATGCAGCCTTCTTTCCGTATCCAGGAACCTATTTTGACATTTAGAAGAACTCTTCTGACCCTGATACCAAATAATGATCAACTGAAGGAACAGATTGGTAAATGGCTACTAAGCACGGCTATGGTTGCTCGAGAGGCTGGTTATTTGCAAACAGCATATGGGTCTCTCATCCAAGCTGCTTCATATAATCTACCTGAGTTCTGTTTAGAAAAAGCGAAATGGTTCTGGGGAAAAGGACAGAATGATCAAGCTTTGTCCTGTCTTCAAAAAGGAATGGCAGAACATTTCCCCGAACAACTGAAAAAGCAGAACACAAAGGCTGCCAAAGAGAAATTATTTACCTATGCACAAGCTCAGCTTCTTTATGCACGATACTGCGATGAAACCTCCAGCATGGACAGCAACACTATTCTTCGGCTGTACAAGGAGGTCACCACTATATGTCGCGAGTGGGAGGATGGCTATTTCTCCCTTGCCAAATACTATGACAAAATGAAGAACAGTATTCTCGATGATGGTGACAACACGCTAAAACAAGGGGAATTCATTATTTACGTTGTGAAATACTACAGCGTCTCTCTTCAGTATGGTAATCAATATATATATCAATCACTGCCAAGATTACTAAGCCTTTGGCTGGACTATGGTAGCACAGTGGTTCAGTCTGCTCAGAGGTTACCACCTCAGAGACCCATCCTACAGAGTCTTAACAGTGTAATCGACCAACTCAGTCGGAAACTGGCACCATACCAGCTGTTTACTGCATTTCCTCAATTAATTTCTCGTATCTGTCATGCTAATTCTGATGTCTTTATGCAACTTGTAAAAATCATTGCCAAGTTGCTGTATTCTTTTCCAGCTCAGGCAATGTGGATGCTTATGGCTGTATCTAAGTCGTCTTATCCCAAACGTGTACAACGGTGTCAGGAAATATTCGAGCAAGCTAAACTCATGAACGAAGAACTTGGAAAGTTTTTAATGGATGCCACTAAACTAACCGAACGTTTACTGGAATTATCTGAGCGACATTGTACAAACATCCAACCCTTGAGCCTATCACAGCATTTTAAACCCCTCAAGAGACTTTTAGATGATAGTAACTTCAGCCGAATTATTGTACCCTTGCAGTCATCAATGACAGTCACATTACCCATGACTAGTACAGGCAACAAGGCTGATCATAACCCTTTCCCCAGTGACCCTGTCTACATCAACACCTTTGAGGACACAATTGAAATTTTACCATCACTACAAAAGCCTAAAAAGATCACTATTAGAGGAAGTGATGGACATTTGTATGTGATGATGTGCAAACCAAAGGATGATCTTCGGAAAGACTGTCGTCTGATGGAATTCAACACAATTGTTAATAAGTTTCTTCGCAAAGATCCAGAGGCCCGTAAACGCCAGCTGTTGATCCGTACATATACGGTGATCCCGTTAAATGAAGAATGTGGGATCATAGAATGGGTAAATAACACAAGTGGACTGCAGCATATTCTGCGTAAGCTGTACCGTGAGAAAGGCCTTCAGATCAGTAACCGAGAACTGCGATCATACATTCCATCCCTACAGGCTCCAATTGAACGCAAACTGGAACTCTTCAGGCAGTTACTGTCACTTCATCCTTGTGTCTTCCATGAATGGTTTCTACGGACCTTTCCAGATCCCACTGCTTGGTATAATGCAAGGCTAGCTTATGCCCGCACATCAGCAGTTATGAATATGGTTGGTTACATGCTTGGTCTTGGAGACCGACATGGAGAGAATATTCTTATGGATTCTACGACTGGGGATTGTGTTCACGTTGACTTCAACTGCCTTTTCAACAAGGGAGAGACATTTGAGTGGCCAGAACGCGTTCCTTTCCGTTTCACAAACAACATGATTGGAGCTATGGGTCCTATGGGTTATGAAGGGATTTTCCGTCAGGCATGTGAAGTGACTCTGCGAGTCTTGCGCAACCAAATGGACCCTCTCATGAGCATCCTGAAACCCTTTATTTACGATCCATTAGTTGAATGGCAGAAGACCAATAAAATGCAGCGCTCACATCAGGTAAATTCTGGAGAGATAACAAATGAACAAGCACTCACCCATGTACAAATGATTGAGCATCGCATGCGAGGAATTCTTGCGTCAAAGACTAAACCGCGAGGACTTCCACTCTCTGTTGAGGGACAAGTCAACAATCTTATTCAAGAAGCTACCAGTGAGACTCTCCTCTGTCAAATGTATATTGGTTGGGCAGCTTATCTATAAAAGTAACATTTACCTTTGTAATATATTGTTAAAACTAGTATCTTCATCTTTATTGTTTTTAATGTTTTGGCCTATTCTTCTGCTTTTTCCAGTAATGTGTTACATTCATCTTTTTCATCTCTTCGGAAAGAATGCCAGGGTTTAACATATGTGAGAGAACTTTTGACCATTAGTGGAGATCAAATTCAGTTTCATAAATTAGTTTTATGCTGATCCCTGATACAAGAAGCCTTAATGAGATCACAAAACTGAATGAGAAAATTTTGTACTTAAGAGACTTCAGCTTATGAGAGTCCTTAATAAGCAAAAATAGTCGTAAACAATAAAGATGGAAGTACTAATAATAAAATATATAGGAATAATGAAAATACATACTCTTAGTAAACAGTTACTTTTGTTAGTGTACATAATTAGGTTGTAGCACATGAAATGTTAGTTTTTTTTTTCCTTTGTTAATAATTTTTTCATTCTAAGTAAGGCAATAAAGCCACTAAGGTACAAGTGGTTACTGAGAGTGAAAGAGTCTAAGAAAAACATTATTAAGGAATGAACAAAAAAAGAACAGTTTTCCAGCAGATAAAAGAAGATGATTATCATTGCATTTCAATTTTTGAAGATCAATGTTGACTGAAAGACAAGATGCTGGAGGAGTTCCACAAATGAGAAATGCAAGAGAAGAAACTTAGCATAGAATTTACATTTACATGAAACATTTCCAATATAAAAGGATTGCAGAGAAAAGTAAAATGCTGTTTTTGGTCTGTTTGGAAATAATCCAGCCATTTATTATTTGAAAAATATTTCCTACCAATAATAACTAAAGTACTCTCCTTGTCACCACATCCACCTGTAATGTTAGTAACATCTGATGAGAATCTGTCTATATTTCTGAGATGAGGTATTATGTACACTATTTACATTATTTGGACTATTGTCCTCATCTTTGTCGCCATATTTATTACAACGTTTCGACTGTTGTACACTCCGGCCTTCTTCAGGTGGTTGGAATGTCGAACTGAACCCTTTATTTCGCTCACTGGGGTAGACTGTCCTAGTTCCACGTGCCATGTTTAATGGATGCCAGTTATCAGTTATCTCCTGTTAATTCCCCTCTCCAAGTTCTCCACTGTCTTAACTGGGTATTGAACTCACACTCTTTGCGTCCTGTCACTGGATCTAACCAACACCTTTATCCACAGTGCCAGGTGACCTTGAGGACCCTTTATCCACTACGCCATATGTCCTTGAGGACACATTACACAGTGAATAAAGGCATTGGTTAGATCCAGTGACAGGACCCAAAGAGTGTGAGTTCAATACTCGGTTAAGGCAGTGGAGAACTTGGAGAGGGGAATTAACAGGAGATAACTGATAACTGACATCCATTAGACATGACATGTGGAACTAGGGACAGTCTACCCTAGTAAGCGAAATAAAGGGTTCAGTTTGACATTCCAACCACCTGAAGAAGGCCGGAGTGTACAACGGTCGGAGCATTGTGATAAATATAGCGACAAGGATGAGGACAATAGTCCAAATAATGTAACTAGTGTATCTGATGAGAATATGAGACTAAATTTTCTATACATAAAATAATTGTTTATTAACTTCTGGACTCCATTAAATTTATTTAACTGAATTAAGGATATGTGGTTTAGAGTCATTTTGAACATTTTGTCTTTCTCTTGAGAGGACGTGAGGAATTCTGCTTCTCTCCTCGTAAGTTAGGCATTTATATAACTTCCTGTTATATGGTTATCATATATGTGTGTATCCTAAGTTCAGCTGAGTTCACTTCCTTGTTTATGTTGGTACGCCCCACTACCACCAACATCTTTTAAGGCCAGATTGTGCACTTGCTGGCTTTGAGATCACCTTCTAGGTCAACCTTTGGTGCTCATTTAACTTTCTTTGGTGACAACGAGTAAAAAAAACTTACTTTGATATCTCTGAGGGTGAACCCAGTACTATTAGAGTCACCACATATCAACTCTTTTTATATCGAGGTACCTGATGGACATTAAATTTGATCCAAACCGCTGATCTTTCCTGGGTTGAATCACATTTATCTTGGCATAATTATTAATTTTCAAAATAGTGACATTCCATGTGCTACAGTGTGATATATATACTGAAAATTATTGTCACACTAATTAATCAGAAATGTCATGATTAATGTCATTTTTTTTGTTTCTTTTGTTTGTGTTTTCTTTGATTAATTTGTTTTCATACTCTCTCATCCTTATTTATGTTGTCATGGAAATTTCATTATTGTTTAAAGGATCATCTGCTATCTTAGGCATAGAATCTGATAAATCAGATTCTGATAGTTTTTTTATCCACTTCTTTTTCTTTATTGTTGGTAAATATATTACTGGTTAATCAGTGCAGCCTAAAACTGCATGAAATGTTGGAATTGACAGGAAAAACTAAAATGCATTCCTTGAGATATTCAAAATAGTAAGACACTTTCCAGATGGTCCTTGTATTTTAAATAAAAAGAATGTTCAGTTAATTGAAATATGAACAGAATTTTCATAAAAAAAATTGATTTTTTTTGTCCACAAGATACATTTAAAAAATGTGTTATTAAGGTTGCCACTAAACAGATCTCAAAGTGATGCAGTTTCGATTTTCTATAAATTCATGTACAATCCATTTGTTCAATTATTTCACTTTTACTGCAAAATGTTGAAAAGGTTCAAGTTTTGCTGAAAGAAGTTGAATTATTCTAATAGAATTGTTTCCATATTTATTGTATTTTTTGTTTAATGGCATTGTGGTTCTGGGCCAATAACGTAACCTTCTCCATTTCTCACTGAATTTGGAACCAGCTGTGGCAACTGCTAACCTGTAGTTTTCTCTGTCAGATTAACCTTTAAGGCAATCTATTTACGGAGGTCTCCAATTGTCCTGCTATTTACTCAGTGTGGAGTGGAGTGGATTTATGCCTTTTCAAGTTAATGTAAGCACCTTGAGCTAAAAGTCAAACAAACTTTGTTTAGATTCTGCTTTACATGCCATTATACCAGTAACCTTTACACTTTTCTGCAACTTAGATTTATTAGATTATTTGAAACAACCATTACCACCACCCAATAACCATCAGGCTGACCTTATTACCCATAATGCAACACTGACCAGCATATAGTCAAGCCAAAACACAACCCACATGGACTGAAGATGGCACTGAAGCATAAAACAGACTGTTGCCGCTTGGTGTTGACCTCAATGTCCACTTTTATATTTACATAGGCTCTATCTCTGATATTGAGTACTTTTACCCATAAATATAGCACACAATATTTTTTATCATTTAAATATCTACCTATATATATATATATATATATATATATATATATATATATATATATATATATATATATATAGTTTGAAGGCATGTTATATTGAAAGTGCTTGATATCAGAGATAGCATATGTAAATATAAATTTCTACATGAAACAAACTGTCACTGCTGGGTATTGACCTCAATGTCCACCTTTTTTTATTTATATATATATATATATATACACACACACACACACATATACATATACACACACACACATATATATATATATATATACACACACATATATATATATATATATATATATATATATACATATATATATATATATATATATATATATATATATATATATATATATATATATGAGAGAGAGATACACACATTGCAAATAAGTAAAAATATGAAAATAACAATAGCAAATTAACAAAATAGTTCTGGCCCACTTATTATACACTTACCATGTATTTTAATTCAAAGGTTGTTAAAGCAAATTAGCAGTAACTGTAACCTTCCAATAATTTTTATAAAAATGTCAGGTTAAAAAATTTAGACAACCAGACTTCTACCTGTATTTGATTAACAAATGATAGCTGACGTTGTTAATATTTTGGATTTTAAAAAAATACATTTATTAACATTAAAATATTAACAAAACCATCTGCAGCTCTTTATTGTTAATGAAATATTAATTACCTTCAAGTTTAAGCATGTTTTTTTTTTTTTTTTTTTTATAAATCAATGGTTCCTGTACAGTCACCAAAGTTAAGTAACATTGAGCCTGGTCTGTACCTAGATGGGTAACCACTTGGGAATACCAGGTTCTATAAGCTTGGATCTGTGGGTGGTGGTAATTTTTTAAATTGTCCCCAAAAGTAGTTGTTTTATACTTTAAATAAGAGGAAATTATTATACATGGTTAAAAAAAAAGAGTGACGTGATTTTTTATTAGAAATTTTGTTATGACAAAAAAAAAGAATAAAAAAAAATTACTCTCATCAATGTATCCTCCTTTTGCCTTGATCACTGCAGCACAAAATTTTGGCGTTCATTGCAAAAATTTCTCAAAGTATAAGTTTGATAATTGATTCCATTTTTTTTTTTTTTCAATGACTCTAAGAGCTGTTTTTCTTTCTTTCTTTTCTTTTTTTTTTTTTTTTTTTTGCACACTTCTGTCAAGTTCATCCCATGCTAATTCTGGGGTGACTTCAAACTTTTGGAATGTAGTGTGTGTGTGTGAGAGAGAGAGAGAGTGAGGAGTGAGTGAGTGAGTGAGTGAAATAAGCTTTGGAGAAAAGGTATGTAAAAAAAAAATGAAAATACTTTTGATACACCCAAATATATAATGATAATAATATAGTGGAAACATTGATAGTCATTAAATGTGCACAGGAAATAAGCTTTGGAGTAAAGGTCTGTAAAAACCAAATATATATTGGTATACCTTAATATTTTATTTTTTGAAACAATTTTGGGGTAAACTTGTTTATTTATTTTGCTATTTTGTTTTCATACTTATCTAAGTCTGGCATAAGGTTATATATTTGCTGCTTATATTGTTATTCAGAAGAAAGATCTTTTTTGTTTATATTTTTGTATTTTGATAAAATAAAACAATTTGCTAACCTCCCTTTGCTCTTTATTTATTGTTTGTGGATTGTTGAGTAATTACCAGCAACCTGGTCTCACT